AGACTTGATTGGGTGCGGAATCTTGATTGTTCTTGTAAAATCGTGGTGGACAATTACGTCCGGTGTTGGAGCGGGCTGACGGGTCTGAAGTTGTCTTGTTGGGTATGTGCTATCTGGTGAATCAAGAAGACGAGTTGAAGCATGTTATTGCCAACTCGGCAACTGTAATGACTTGCTATACGGAGGCACTGAGGGAACTCGAGAAGCACATCAAGAAGTTGTCTAAGTTGACTGAAGGACGATTATCGACCCGCGATATCATCCACGGGTTATTATTGCGATTTTCTCAACATCTCTTTGGTGTGGCCAACATTGACATAATATGCTCTCATCGTGTCACGGAGTTGAAGTATATGCCTAGAAAACGTGGCTCTAAACTAACTATTGCGAAGAAGGCTCTGGTCGATCAATGGCGAGACTTTGTGGCAGATGAAGTATGTGATGAGCAGACTGTATCGATCGCCGAGAAATTGGCTTCGGATCCCGGTGAAGGGAAGTCACTGGTAGCGGCGAAGAAGTTGAGGCTCAGGAGCACTGATTATAAGAAAGTCGGAGTATTGAAATGCGACGACGCTGTAGAAGTATCTGACCCTCTAGTATTACTCCCCACCCCTGCAGGAGGTTTGATGCTTCGGGTAAGCGATGACAATTACATCAAGATCATAGATCATTCGGGTACCTTCCTGAATGTGCTCCGATATTCAGGCAGCGAATAAGCACTTTCCTACGTAACCGAAGTTGTAGCGTTAAACACATTGTCAGTGTAAAAGACACACAGCATACGCTTTCCAAAATTCCCAGCCGGGAAACTGAACATAATATAGTACTAATGAGACATTAGATCGTGTATATCGTCACATGTATTTTCACTAAGTCGTCAGAACATCTCGTTGCTGAACAGTCAGATCTTCGATGCGTTGATTCAATAGTTGTATCGCGTCACGGAGGAACTGATCAAGATGTATGCGAACGACATCATCAGTTCTGAAGTTATCAACCATCAAACTCTCCTCGGCCCGTTTCATATCACTCCTTGCTTCGCTGCCGATTCCCTCAACTCTCTCAAGGAGTTGATCAGTCATCACCTGTCAGAATCACATATGGAGAATGCGAATGAATAATGCACCATACCTCCGCTGATTCGAATACTTCATTGACTGTAACAGGCAGATATACGTCGTCAATTTTAGAGCTTTGCAGCCGGTACTCCCGGAGTAACTCTTTCCTCTGCTTGCGGATCTATTCTGGTTGATGAATCGATCAGGAGTTGGTCTTCAACCCCACTTTTGATGGCTGTAAGGGCCCTAATGCGATCATTCCGTCATCGGAGCTCGACTCATCAGTGTTGGTATTCGCAGCAGCACCTTACACCAATAGATCGGTATGGGGCGCTACATCGTGGGAGTTCCCTACGGGCTTTCAATCTTGGTGAATCACTCAGGGAAAAGTTAGGCAACGTCGTGGCGGCCCATCTCGTCCCAGGCTTCGACGATAGTAGCATTTGAAGGCTCTTCGTGTGATGAGATTCTACAGTTGTGACAACTCCACGAATATGCGACGGCACTGAGAGTACCTTCAGAAACCATAACCTCCCCAGCTCCACTCGGCATGGCTCCGTCAGCAATCTGATAGTTCAACAACACATCTAGAGCCTATTCACCCCCGACAGGGACGAACATGTACAGGCATGCGGCGCTGTAACATTTTTCCATTCCCCATCTTCTTGTGGGTGTCTGCCGCATCCCTGAATTGGTGGAGTTGCAGCCGAGGAAGATACCATCGAGCATAAAGTCCCTGCAGATTCCTGAGCTGAGCTCCTCCAACAGCAAGCGAGCCCCGATCTGTATGCTATACGTTTTCATGAAATTGACCCAATCGAAGGAGTTAAAAACATAATCCTTCACGGACGCAGCCCTCGCTAGGACGGAATCCACGATGCTATTGGATCCATCGTTGGTATTCCATCTGACAGCGGAGTTAGACCTCCAATAGAACCGCTCCACATACCTTGTGGATCGTGTAGAGCAAACGAAGTAGGCAATGATTGCACACAAGTAACGGAGCCCGAGGAACCAGGAAGCGACGACGAATCTAGAACGAGGAGCATCATCAGCATTATACCTGTCATGCAAGCATCTCTCGTACAAGAAGACTAGTGAGGCACCCCAGAAGGACGCATCGGCAATAGTCGCAAACCCAGGACCTAGAAATGTTCAGTGCATGTTACCACTAGGGTCATCTGTTCTACCTCCGATAAAGGTACGACTAAAGACGAAGAACGCGTCACCAACGAGAGCTAGCTGTGGCACGACTTCACCGTAACCCACTACATAGGCTACGCTGAAGCCCAGGAAAACCTATAATGAGGACGCTGAGTGGTCATTGGTTGGAGTATTCAGTGGATACTATCTACCACAACGAGGGATCCAAGGAATGACACAATGAGCTGCCAGGCCTTACGGGTCGTCGATGTCAGCGTGCTGACGTACCTGTCGCGGTACAATAGCAACCGTACGGAAACTACGGCAGCAGCAATAAGCCTCGACCACTTGTTCATGACTCACGGGAGGAAGGTTAGGAATCTGAAGACCTTCACCCATGTAAGGGCTATGTTAAAGGCATGTATCCGCCTTGTAAGCTGCACTGTTGTGGCAATCGGCTAAGTGCAGGGACAGAATCACACCGAAAGAGCGGCGAAGCACTAAGCTACGAGGAGGTCCACATACTGCGTGGTGTCGGTCGAGGCGACTTTGAAGTCCAAGTCAGATGCATCCACCAAGGCTTTAAGCCACAGGGAAAAGGTTACCAGGAGTAGAATGAGGTTCGCCCAGTTGAGGAGACTCCAGCAGTTGTTCAAGTACCTATGACGTGAATAATCACTCTGTGTCACAATAGCGTGTCGCATTGCACCGTATCTTCAGTATTCTCATATACGATATTTCTTGATAGATGAAATAAAGGGCGAAGAGGAACAACATAATCTCGACAGCGACAAGCATCCGTTCCTGAGGGACGAGGTATAGGGAGCTCGAAAGCGAAGAGTTAGGGACTCCAGGTTGCTTCAATGCTGATGGATTTATGTGTCGCAAGTTAAGTATCAACAGCTGCACTCTGTTATACCATAGTCCAGATGCCGTTACCTGATCACCTGATCAGGAGAACTCGTACTAATCAGCGTCACCTCAAACCCTATCCGTGTAGCCGCGAAGCAACCAAGATTGGAGTTCCACACGTTCAAGTCGACGAATACAGCCCGAGTTGCTATATCAATATAGTGTGAAGACTGCAGTACGGCTAGGGCTTGTGCCGCCTCAGAACCTACCCATAGTCAGCTTTCTCGATTCTTGTGTAGATCACTACGGTTGCTAGGTATGATAGTAACGTACCCACTGCTGGAGTACCTCGCAAGATTCGCATTTACGACGTGAGAGAGTTCCGCTGGGATATGGAATCACTTAGCTATCTTTCCCGCATAATCTGCTCTCTTATATACAGGGTTGTTGCCGCCCGCGTCAGTATACATGATAGGCTGATTGTTAGCGATCGCGTCGTAGGTGGCACTGAAGAAGGTAGTTTTGCTTATGAAGCTCAGGAAAAGAGAGAGGCAGACCTTTCTTCTCGCGATTTGTCATACGGGGCGTAGCAGTAGTCGAAGTATGAACTGAAGGGTTCTGCCACGCGACATCCCTCACCACTTTTAACACGAAGGGTTCCTGTAAGGGGCGCATGCTGCAACATCATGCTCTGTACCAAGAATATGTGTGCTACGGATGCGGACTGCGCCCAGCAATCTGTTATACTGCCTCTCATCAATCGGCCGCATGAAGGCTATGCTATCAATCAAGCCTTCATCGTTAATGAGTATGCCTCCATCTGTGGTTGACGTTTTCGGAGCAGTATCTAGGCGCAGAGCCTTTGCTCCTAGACATAGACCTGGCCGTACTCCGAGCAAGAGCAGTGTAGATAGTTGTTGGAACGATGTCCTCCACAAACAGATTATCCAGGAGCAAATCTGATAAATAGTCCCAGAAGGTTTCGATTGATTGAACCTGGGCTAGTGCTACCTCGAGGGAGGACGGGAGCCTTCAATGTACTACCTCGTTGAGAGCCGGGACACTTCTTTGTTCCCCATTTTCGACGTCAATCGCAGACGTGGGATGCTCCAATTTAGAGGTTAGCTGTATCGTGAAAGGTTGATATCATACCAGAACCATGTAGCCTTACGTGGTGCTTAAGATTTGTGTAGTCTAGCCTCGTATCAGAGAGTAGAAATAAGTTGTATGTGACGAGGAAAGCAGCGAAGATTAGCACAGGGGAAGCTTTCTTAATCTGAACAGGATGCCCGGATGACCTTGATGCAAGACTGCTCATTTCCTCACGAGATCGATCATCCTCTCCTTCCCAGTTGCATAATAATAGACTATGGGTAACCTCTCTACCGGCTTACCCTCAGTGATATCCACTTTGACCATACTATTGATGTCTGCTCCGGTGATCGGGGGTATGCTATTATCCATACAATGAGTATCGAGGTCACTGAACGATTTGTGGTAGTTGAAGGCAACTGTTGTATCGAATGCTTAGTCGTTGTACACCGTTAGTACTGTGTCGTGAGTCCACAGCTGTGTCCCTCAATCTACCAGGGAGTTAAGCACTGAGTTACGAAGGCGACTAGACTTGAGAGGATCTACCATCTAGAATCATTGCCTTGAGTGAAACCCAATACATGCATGTACGTGAGTATTCACTTGAGTGATATCCGGGAGTGACGCAAGGTTGTGAGACCACTTCAACACATCGCAAGGTCCTCAGTTGGAATTCATCCAACACAGCAAATGCCGAAGAAATTTTGCAAGCCTTAGAGGGTTTGGTGGAAGACCTCTTTGCCTTTCAGTGACCCCAAATCGTAGCCTCCTATTTCACTAGTGCCCGAGGTCATTGTCTGTAAGACACTGCTTATAGAAAATATTCCTCTTCTCTATGACTCGTTATCGCTACCGCTATGTAATGCCCATAGTCATGTTCCTCGTATAGTAAATACAATGCGATACTTTTACCTCATCATCATCTCCTGGGCCTCACCTTCCAGTTCTCGGAACCTCCCAGTGATATGCAATTCCCATCGCTACTCCGAATGTCGATTGAGAACAGTTTCTCGCCACCACGTCCCTTGGGCTCTTGAACACTTCCCAGATCATTATTTCGACTGCTTGAACTCTTGAATTTTTATACCTTGTCGGAGCTCCTACAAGTTGGGCATCTATGCGGAGAGTAATATCAACCGGTTTAGTGGTGCACATGGATGGGGATAGTTGATGATTTACGGTTTCGCTGTCAGGAATGCCTTTCTGTTCGGCAACGAACAGCGAAGATGCATTAAGGACCCCCTCCCTTTGATGTTCAGAGCGTGTTGCGTTAAGTAGAATAATCTGATAATAATCAACTGATGGGTAGGGGCTACTCTCAGATTATTACTACATACCAGTTGTAGTAGTTGCCAAACGTCTACAAATATCCTCAACATGGCTGTAAACCAGATGGAGCTGTCGCAAGTGATGGCAGCCACGTTGTCATCTGATTATCATATTCGGCGACAAGCTGAAGAGAAGCTCACGCAGGTAGTATCATTGATTGGGTTTACCATGTACGGGTGTAATCCGTTCCGGTATTCCTGTAATAGTAGAGGAGTTATCTCTAACAGGCCGAGTCCGCGGGGGGTGTCCTCACATCCTCATTGCTACAGCTAGTAGCTAATGGTAATGAACAACTACCCGTGCGTTTGGCAAGCAGTATATACTTCAAGAATTTCATCAAATCTCACTGGCCGGAGTCCCCTGATGAGGTATTATTGCCAACAGTGGGTCTGTCCAGGATGATGATGATCATTCTCTCATCAGAATGGAGGGATCTCGGAAGAAAACCGCAACCTTATAAAATCACATCTCGTTGATCTGATGCTATCTGTACCAGCACCTCTCATGGCCCAGCTTCGAGAGAGTATCAAAATCATCAGCGATCTTGGTAATAAGCCACTCCTGAACACTTTGTAGGCTCGCTCATACTCTTGTCAGATTTCCCTGCTGGCTGGCCTACGCTGCTGCCCACTCTTGTACAGCGGTTGACAAGTAGTGGTGATCTCAATGATGGTGTTCAGTTCGGAGCCTTAGAGACTGCAGCTACTGTGTTCGATAAGTGAGTTTACAGGAGTCTCCACTTGAGGGTATATGCAGCAAGAACTGGATTATTTATAGCATCTGTTGGCCTCTCATTTGGATGAAGGTGTTCGTATGAATCTGTGATAGGTACCGATACTTAGTGAGATCCAACGAGGTCCTCAGGGAGTTACAGTATATCTTAAAGGAGTTTCAAGAGGTAATTCATCCAACATGTGTTGATACCGTATACGGTCTAGGTTACTATGCTCCTCATCTTGGTTATCTTTGCTCCTACAGGTTCATCTAGCTCTCTATAGGCAGACAATGCAAGAGATATTCTCGCCTGCACTTAAGGACGCAAGTAGTACATTACCTCAGAAACCCTCTTGTATACTGTGCCAGGTCAAGCAACAAAGGCCAGTAAGTTAGCCAAACTCCTCGTTGTCGAGCTTGAAATATTTTACGACCTCAATGTTGTCGACATTCCGGTAAGTAGACTCTCACTGCTGCTTCAGACTGAAGTAAATCGCTCTGTTGTTTCCAGGAGTATTACGAAGACAACTCCGCCACTTGGTTCGAGGGGTTTCTGCGCTTATTGGAATGGCAGGATGCCCCAGCTGGTAGTAGGCTGGATGTTATGACCTTTTTATCTATACATTGATTTAGCCCTCAAAGCAGTAGACGAGGACACCCCTGGAGCCATCGAGAACCTCAAAGCCCAAGTGTGCAGGAATGTTGCTCTGTATGCCGATAAGTACCAGGAGCAAGTGGAACCGTAATACTGATCAACTTCTCCACGGACGATTCGATCATTCCCCACATGGTGTGCGTAGAGACAGCTCGATCGTTTGCTCTTCACCAATCATATTGTTTATGCTCATCATCATCTATCATGAAGGTATATCTGTGGCGTAGTGAAGTCGGTGTGGACCTTGCTAGTTTCAACGAGTCCTAATGGGAGTAACGACCAGCTGGTAGTTGGGGATTACAATGTGGGTGGCTGTACCCAACTCTTGTCTCAGGTATCAGCAGGTATAAAACTGCTCTCAAGTGCGGCTAGTACCAAATGGGATAAAAGTCCCTTTGAGGAGGCGAATTCCCTTCAAGTAATACATGGGACTGCTGATCCTCATCCAGTGTGCTTGTTCAACAGGCTATCTGTGAACACGTTGTTCTCCCTAATATCAAGCTTAGAGACTCTGATGTTGAAGACTTCTTCGACAATCCTACAGTAATGGATCTCTGCTAACCTGTGGATAAGTTAGATATGTGCAGGAATATATAAGAAGGGACATGGAGAGTGCAGATCAAGATACCCGTCGTCGAGCGGCAATGGAGTTAGTGAAGGGACTTAGCAAGTTGTATGAGCAGCAGGTAATGTGGCCTGAGCTGGTGAACTCCAGTGTTGGGCACTAGCATCGGTTTAATGCTAGACTGTAAACTGGGATATTGATCCTTGGAATCAGGTGACGGATATCCTGGTCCGGTACGTCCAAATGCTGTTGCAATCGGTCGGATCTTCATCAACGGAGGATGCCTGGAGAGCTAGGGATGCTTGTGTGTACTTGATTATTGCAACTGCGGCTAAGGCCCAAGTAAGGAGTGTCATAGCATGCTCATTGCTTTCATCATTTGCATTCCTAGACGAGGAGTAAAGGAGTCTCGATAGTGAACTCAGCTGTGGATGTACCAGCCTTCTTTGAACAGCAGTTGATGCCTGAGCTCTCGCAAGCAATACCATCGGATAGGGAGCCCAGTCGGGCAGTCTTCAGAGCTAGCATCCTCAAGTAATAGGGGCAGTAGTCGCTGTTAGTGAAAGGCAGCCTTTCTCAGGTATATAGCAGTATTCCGACACCACCTTCCCATTGAACAACTTAATCGGGCCCTACCGCTTGTTGCGAACCATATCCAAACACCCGTGACTGTAATAATACCGACCATGCATCACACTAGCCTTCATGTAATGGTCTCAACTCGGTGTTGTAAGGTACTCCATACTTATGCTGCACACTGCTTAACTGTACTACTCCTGCTCAAAGGACCTAATAAGCAACATAAAATACCACTTGAACTGCTCAAACAGAATGTAACCATCCTAATAATCGATCGACCGAGGCTACCGGCTGATCATATTAATCAGATACTACCAACGGTCGGACCTTGTCTTCAAATATTGGCTACAGATAACACACGGTCTGCATATGAGATGAAGCTTGTTATGCGTAAGGGATGCTATCTCATTTGCTACTTATGTGTCGAGCTTATGACTCACGTACGGTGATGCAGGTGTGTTTTCAACCTTCAATGAAGGAGCTCTCAGTATAGCATTACCAACACTGAGGCAACTGGCAACCGTAGGAGGATAGTTAGGAATGTCTACACCTGGATGCCCGCCTGGCTGCCCTGCTCAACCTGGCTCAATCACTTGGTCATTCAGATACTGCGTGCGGTGGCCGCAAATCCTAGTGATGCCGTTTTCAATCACTATCTCTTTGAAGCCATTGCTTCTATTGTAATGACATACTCACAACACAGAGGAGGAATGCTCATTCCAGGTGCGTACTGTGCTACAATTCGCTCCTGCCCAACATGGCGAGGTGGAGTCGGCGTTGTTACCGGTCATCAGCTCTATCCTGGAACAGAATGTGGCGGACTTCATTCCGTAATAAATCTAATGCTAATCATCTGTTGGTCCATGTTAGTGTGCATAACCAGCCGGACGCTTGAAGTATGGAATGCCTCGTTCAGGTATTGCTTTCAAATACTCGGATTGCTTCTGGACTCTGGAGACAGCTCCACGTCAGCGGCAGGGCCACAGATATACGGTGCCCTGTTCGACCGGTGGGGTTCACGGCTTTACTCGTGTGCCTTTTCACTCATCGGTATCTTCAGGTTGCTGACTGATAGTCTGTGGAGGACTGCTGCTAACGTACCGGGCTTGGTGAGGCTCTTCAGCTCGTAATACCACTAGGGTAGGAAAGCTCACTGGATTTGTTGAGTTCAGGTACTTCAAGAAGAATGCTCAGTTTGGTGAGCAAATAACACGTAACATGCAGACAATCCTCCAACGCTTCCAATATGTAGGAATGTAACGAAGAAGCTGATTGGATATCCTGCTCTGGCGCAGGTCCTCAACCATCGGAAGATCGAGATGCAGGCGTTTGACCTCATTGTATCAATGTTCCGATACCTACCGCTTGCTGCCTATAAAGAGTAAAGCGATTATGCTCTTAAACTAGCACGGGATGGAACATCGCCTCAGTTCCTTGGCCGGTATATTGACCGTGTTTTTGACGAAGTTGCAGAAGAAGAACACGGCTGCTTTAACTAGGAAATTCGCGATAACTCTGAGTGTGTTCGTGTAAGTCGGCTATCACCCTTAGACTAGGTCCTCAGTCTATCAAAGTGAAAATATTGACGTTATTGGTAGATACTGTGTTCCAGATGGTCCTAAGGTATTGCTTACAACCCTGGAACAGATACAAGCTGGACTATCTGTTATGGTTGTGAAGTCATTGTGGATGTCAGCATTCAAGGGGAATATGGGTGGCAAAGAGAACAAGAAGGTGCGTAGCTATTCGAGAGGATGCAGGCGCTCATGAGGGCTGGTCGACAGGTTTGCCTACTTTCTGCGGCTAAGTTCGTGAGTGACCCTACCGTCCAGAGCAATGGAGAGATAATGCATGCCGTAAGTCATCACCGGATTTATTGCGTCACAGAGCGGCACAGGTTCTAATGGGAATATCTGAACTGCTGGGTTTGAACGAGAGAGAGCAACAGCCAGGGAATTCATTGCTTAACCCTAAGCTTAATGATGAGGATGATGATTATGAAGATGACGATGCTGAAGATCGAGAGTAACGCAAATGTTGAATATATTGTTTGATCCTTTCATCCGTCCCAATAGATACGCAGTTACCTTTGCACGCCTTCACTCGACCGAGATGCCCGGCCATGCTGACTATGCCCCATCAGTAACCGACGTCCCGGGTAGTGTTAAACAGGCCTTGCGTGGCATTGATGGTAATGATGGGGCGGTGAACAGCCGATGGTAGTCCTTGCATTTCTAGGCCGGTTCCTCGCCAATCCACCACAAGAGCTGGCGCGTCTCAGCACATGGGTGAGGACCTAAGTATCAGAGCTCGTGTTTGCAACGATATACTGGAATTTTCACCGTCTGATCTGCCATATTTTGTTATATGTGAGGGGGGGGACTGCTCAGCAATAATCGCCTCTCAGTGAATCGTCCTTTTTGCTTGTAAGTGCTCATCATCGATTACCTGAAAATGTATTATGGTAAAGCTAACCCAGATCATGAGATGTATGCCCAGGATATGCCACAGTACAGCTATGCTTCGAGGCTCTATGATTCCGACCATGCTGATGATCATCATGACAAACATTCCACCACAACTATAGGGGATGGTTAGGAGGTCCAGAAGGCATACTCCTAGTAAATTGGATCTCGAAGAACAGGAACTATACAAGGAGCGACTTGCATGCAGACATCAGAAGCTCCGAGCCAAAGCTAGAGCCGATTCGGGTGGCAAACGCTACTGCTTCGGCAGGCTCGACAAGAATGGCTATCGGAGCTGCTTGCTTATAAGTTGCACTTCCATTGTGGCTACTGTGGCGCTCCTACTTACATTCTTCTTTGGTCCTAGATTGGCTCAAGGACTATTGGACGATGGTATGGTAAGCGTGGAGTCAGTCGCCGTCAACGGGACTAATATTACAACTTGTGCTGGATCAACCGTTAGTGCGTGTCTGGGTGCCACCATAGTGTTCAGTGTTGATAACCCGACACTCCTCGAGGTGAAGTTGGATGAATTCACCGTCAATCTGTACTATAACGAGGCAAGATTCGCGTCTATAAGGATGCCAGTTATGTCTCTTGGTAGTGGCCACACCAGCATCAACGAGACGGTGTTCATAGTGGTTACAAACAAGACGGCATTCACCAGATTCGGCTCGGCTATCATCACTGAGCCATCCTCTGTCGTTGCAGTTAGAGCATCTGATATCGGTGGTAGGAGTTGGTGGGTACCTTTGGCCGGTTTGGAACTCAAGAGAGATATCCAAATCGAGGGCTTCAACAACTTCCGTGACTATCAGCCGCGGATCTTCGATATGCAATTCGTACCAGCACAAAGCACTATAGAGCAAGCGGTCTACCTCAGCAAATTCAAATTCTTCAACCCAACCAACTTCACTATATGGGATATGGGCAGGTTTCTTGCTTCATTAAACTCGAATGACGAGGAAGTTGGTGCAATATTGTCTGTCGGCTCTCTTGGCATCAAGCTCAGAAAAAACACTGAGTTCGCGACCGCGACTTGGTTTACCCTCGGTGGAGCTACCGCTCAGTTTTCGAAGGCTCTTGCCAAGAACCTGGAAGACGGCAAAGATATGACCGTTACCCTCAAGGGATTCGGAAGCACGAACCCAGTCTGGGCGGACATGATGCAGTCTATTAATGTTCCCATGTTGATAGCTGCTCGTTGATTATATTGCATTCCCATATCTAATTCAGATTAGCTTCAGTTTGCATTGTGATGCCATGATTGCGTGTGCCGATGATTCACATCTGTTTGGTTGTGTAGTCCAGTCTTCAGGGCTGTTCTCAACACAGATTGGTCACTTTGGAGGTATCTGTATTCATGAACCCGACTCCTGTCGTTTATCATGAATGGTTGATGGCAAAGAGTGTCCAGTCTAGCCTGCCATATCTACTGGACAGGGGAGAGCTCCTGTTGATGCCGTCCAAAACTTGCTGCCGCCGATTGAGCAAGTGGTGCTCATCTTGCTGTATGTGCTGTCTAACGCTCTCAAGTTGTACTATGGGTATTACTTCCACTCATTTTCACTCTTGCGCCTACCCTTGCTGCAGCAACGTTGAAGGGTTCAGAATCTTTCTAAGATAGGGTGGAGATCATTGGTGGGAATATCAAGGATTGCAATTCCCGCTGCCGCTACCTGTCTGGACACCATACTTGTCTCCATACTCTTCTCGTTTTTGAAATGACTGTCTAACCTTTAATTGCATCACTCTCAAGTGACTAAAAGTGATACAAAAGATATTTATCCATGCCATCAGTTGACGAGAGAGTGATCTCCGACTGTCGGAGATCACTCACCGATAGTCACGAGCTTAACGAGCGACTGAAACCCTTATTGTTTCTCTGCCATTTACAACTATAGTACTATATCAAAACACCGGATAATGATGCCTGCTAATATCGATAACACATCTACGTCCTCAACTACCGCTACTGTACGAGATAGTATACCCACCGGGGGCTCCAGTGATCGTGATGCTCCCTCAATTCGAACACCGCTGCGAGTACTTGACAACCTTTCGACTGGCTCTATCTTCAAATATGAGGCTCATCAGCAACAAGTAGGTTCCGACCTTGGTCCTATAGACTTGCCGCCACACAGCACGACTGTGCCCAATTCTACCCCAGGCAGAGCCTCACCACCCAACACTGCTACTACACCAATTATGGTAGCAGTTTTTAGGATGTGTATATTGAACTGTAATGAGGATGTACGTGTCACTGATGGTAATTTTCCCGTGTAGAAGGTGGCGACTTTAGAATCGATTGAGAACCTGATTTGACGGAATTTCGAAGCTTTTCCTGGTGATGGAACACATCACCAATTCTCATTCACTCCCGCTTGTTTCCACTGATACAGTATTGACTTGTATGTGATTACTGAATAGTGGACATCGGCTGATCCAAATCCTGTCGCCGACAGGCTGTCGGTCAGCATCAATCTTGGAGCCGTACACAGTAAAGAAAACTCACTTGCCTCGTATTGCCACCGTTCATATAGTGTAATACCACATCACCAAGATGACAAGTAATACTGAAGTTTTCACGCTCGCCGCACGTATGTAGTCGCCGGGATTTCCCTTGACATGACTGAGTGTCGCAATCCTTGTTCTTATTGAGGATAATTGACAAGACAAAAACAGGAGTAGATGAAATACGTTAGTAATCACTTGGTAATAGTAATGCCCTTGCTCTTCGAAGAGCGCTTGTGCTTCTTAGGATTACTTTTAGACGCACTTGGAGCCGACACTTCTCCCACACCAGTAGCGTCGTCACTCGACCTCCTACGCTTCACACTAGCGTCTTTGACGAGTTTGCAGAGATAGAAACCCCGACAGTGATCCACTTCAGGTCGAACTTGAACGTCTCGAGCGCCGTGAGTCGGCTCCTTCCAACAGGACCCCACTTCAAAAGGCCACTCCCGTCTATACCCGCTTTGCAGTCTATTAAGAGCTTTCTTCACAACTTCGCCATTTTCTTCGTTCTTGATACTACATGTGCTGTAGCACACGGTCTGAACAGCGGGGAATGCCGTCAAGGCATGGTCCAACATTCGGCATTGGAATGATGAAAGCTTGCGGAGCCGCTGGGCGCCGACACTCTCAGAGTCAGCGTGAACATCGACCAATCCAGAACCACTGCAGCTCGGGTCCAAGTTTACATGGGTGACCTCGGCAGAGCTGTACTTGATGAAATCACCAACACGTACTTCAACATTGATATCAGGGCTGTGCGCCGCAGACAGATGAGCAACTTCTTCAGAAGTTCTCGTCCCATCTCGTGGTAAGAAACCAGCCTTTGCCAGACGGTCCAGTAGCACCTTTGCCCGTTTAGGATCAAGCTCCATTGCTACCATAGTACCTTCTATCTTACGATACCTCATTAGTTGTAGCATGTGAATCGTCTTGGAACCAGGAGAAGCACATGCATCTACGACTGTGATTTTCTCTCCTGGCTGAACGCCGGCCAGCAAAGAGTGCGCGGACAAGCAGCTGCCACGGTCCTGTAGTACGAGGGTAAAGTCTTTGACCAGAGGAGACTCGATGAGCGCCTTGGAATTCCAAGGATCTACAGTTATAACCTGAAATATCATATCACATCTTTAGACGGCAGTGTTGAGATTATTACATCAGGAATCAGTGGATCTGCCTTGGATTTGATACCAGCTGAGCCTAATTGTTCGATAGCACTTTCCCTGGAGATTTCTGCCAAGTTCACACGAACATATCGTGGGAGCTGAGCAGGCTGCTTATCCTCACTGCTACTGGACTGGTCATCGCTAACCGCCTTCCTCAAAATAGCCGCTTTCTCGTTCAAAACTCGAGCCAATTTGCCGCCTCCGCGAAGGCCTTGACCGTAGATCAAGTCATAGGCCATGACGAGGCCGAGACTGCGATCCCCTAGGGTGTCCAGAATACCCGCTGATCGCAACGCCGATTCTATACGTTTCCTGGACTTAACCGTTTTGCACACTAACGCGTAGACTTTCTGTGGATTAGTACTCTTCAGCTTAGACTTGTAGAAAGCTTCCCTAAGGCCAACACCATGCGATATGACTTTATCCACAACAGCTGCTGCGTCTTTGTACAGTAACGACATCGAGTCTGCAACTTCACTTGGAGAGGCAGATCCCAAAATCCGTGGCAGGTGACCAAATGTAAAAAATCTCGCTCGCCCGCACTGGGCAAAACCTCCAAGGCATTTGACGGCCACCGATTTGCCGGTGATTATAGTGTCGGAGTCCGACACTATAATCACCGAGATTGTTGTCGTAGCGGCCTTTAGGCAGAGTGAATTCGATTAATTTTCAGTCGGAATGAGTGCCAAGGAGAGTGTGCGCGTGGAATAGAGAGCTGAGGTTGTTGCGAAAAGCTCAGGTCTGATTGTACCGTATTGATAATCTCGCACCGCATCCGCCGCTGCGACACATCCTAAATGAGGCGGTTCAGTTCCGTTGCGAGCAGTAGAGGCCACCCGAGCTTTGATATCAAGTAACTGTAGTTGCACCATCCTTGAGGAATTAGCAGGGAGACCGCTCCTCTAGCTGGTCAAGCGAAGGAGCATCTAGAGAATACACGAGAAGAGCGGACGAAGTGGGTGAGAACGGTCTGATTGAAGGAGACTGATTTTCTACTAGTAACTCATTAATATTCTAGTAATACACTAGGCTCGTGTACAAGTTCAGTAGATCCAAAAGCGGTATGACCGGACGGAGGTCGAGAAGTTACGGGCAGCCATTGGCACAGCAGAATAGGGGACTCCAACAACTATGTGAAACGTGCACAACGTTCACGCTTGCTGTGATCAGTACAGGAGGCGCATCTTCTTGAACGCCAAGGCTTTATTTGCTATGAGGCATCTGGGGAAAGGAAAGACATTGTATTGCGTCCATGAACGATACCCTTTCAAGTGTTTCGTTGTCTTCATTGCCATGGTACTTATTTTGGCACCAGGATCCTTGGTATGCCGTTTCTAAGTCCTAACAGCTGTTTCTCCAATATTCAACAATAGAACTCCTAGCTCGTATTCGTGGTATTGAATGTCACCGTTCTCAATGTATTCATCTCAGTTATCATCTCATTTGGATGTCATCTGACCGGCCGTGGTTTTCAAAGGACTGGAGCGACCCTTGGGTGGAGATAGAAGATGAGTCAATGCAATGCCGAGAGTCCATCGGGTTCGGCTATCCGATATGGGGAGTGGCACTAGGGAACTGGGGGGTTCGATCCACCGAAAGATCTGGAAAGTAAGATGCAAGGTTTCTACTCACGATGATTGACCACCACACTTTCAGATTTCGATATAACGTCGAAGTGCATCCCAGTCCAGAAGCACGGAGCGATGCTATAATTGGCTTTGCTGCAGTGCCTCATAGTACAACTAATGCTACTTCTTGCATCCTGTGTATCGACTATCGAACCGGACGACTGGGTAAATCATCCAACACTGATCCACAGATCATCTTATGGTCGAGTCCCATCGGGGGTGTGCGTACTCATGATCCGACTATGGTCAGTGCTGAGCTCAGCCTGAAGGATGGCAAAGTGTGGTTCGAGGGTCTGGACAATACACAGAAGATACAGATACCCACATGGCAACTCACAAAGAATTGTATTTGGATTCCCTATGTCGCGCTTCGTGATTGCAAAGTCACAAACATGGATGCCAAGTCGATCCCTCCATTCCAAGTTGGCTCTATGTCTTTGGGATCTCCAAGGACAGTCTACTGCTCATGCGGGCCTCCATTGAGTGGCAAATCATTCCAGCTTAATAAGACTTTAGCAGCAGGCAATATCACTGGGGTACTCCTGGACCTTTCTGAGAGATCGATTCTCAGCCGTGCCTGTCTAGATGGAGATGCCAAGAACCCGAACGCTGGCAAGTCTGAAAAAGTTGCGTTTGACGAGATTATGCTCGCTCACGAGCCGCCAATTAAGAATTGGCGTCGTCATCATGCCGTTTTTGTTTGGAAACAACTCCGGAAGATGGCAAAGCGATGGCCCTCATGCAATGCCGTCATACTCGATTCGTGCCACTTGTTGGAATCATATCGAAGATGGCTCCGGCGGTCTGTGGTCCCCATGAGTGTCACCATACAGTACACTGTGGTGCTTCCAGACTCGGTGAGAACACTTCACGAGCGAGCAGGGGCTGCCTCGCGTCTACGTCGAATGATCACGGCTGCAAGTGACTCGAGTTTGTCACTGCCAGTGGAATCAAAAGGTGTCAAAGTCATACATGCTACTATTGGTGGCCGGGAAGTGTCGCAGAGAGTGTTTGATGACTGGATTAAGGCTATGCATGAGGAGCCTGAGACGAAACGTACGACCTATTTAGCAGCTGTGGGGTTGATCATCTACTCAGGTTCACGACTACGAGACTCTGATGATATCGTTGAGGATCCTGCCGACTTGTCGATGCTCAGTGGCCAATGTGCGAGCTTGGAGATCGATGTGCCATGCTATGATGAATGTTGGCCGAGGGCAGCACCACCCGTTGATGATCCCAAGTAAGCTCGACTGCTTGGAGTAATTTTGGATGCCTTTCACTCGGGGTGATTCCTCCAAGCAGCTGGGACGTACTCATTTCGAACCAATTTAGCAGTCTTTCCTGATCATTTCAGGTCGGTCGAGAGTACTGTGATGGTGGCGGAGACAGCTGGTGCCGACACGATTTATGGAATGCTTGATGAACTTGACGATATATAACGTTTGTATGAGGGGTTTTTTGTGTTTGTGTAATGGATGCATTCGTACATTTCTTTCGATTACATAGTGCCTTTCACCTGGAACTTGTTAACTATGAAGACCAGCCAATTAGAAACACCCTCCATATATCATTAGTGCAGTAGGGCTGCAAGATCAGAAACATCTTTACTTATCTCCAACGATGGGACGCTGTGGTAGAGTTCCACCATCATTCCAACTCCCTGGCGTTAATCGATTACTCGAGGTAAGAGAGTGTGAAGTTTGACAGGAGCCGTGAACGACTCGGTGTGCTTTAAACGGACAGCCAACTCTCGCAGAGGCTTGGAAGGCTTCGAATGAAAACTCTCATTTCAGATTTAGAATTCATAGCTTAGAACCTGTTAAATGTCGTGTTTCACGGTCCAGACACTCCATATAACGAGAACAATCCCTCACGTCATGCCGTTCGCAGTTGATGGAGGTTCTGTGATGGGAGTTTTGGCAATATGTCACGGACGAGGGTGGATCTCACAAACCCATGTGGGAAGCAGTCCACGTCCGTGACGCATTCAGTGCCCGGGATAAAACACGGCTATACCAATCAGCCACCGTGCAGATCCCGGGTGAATGCCCCCCATCTCAGATAGAAAAAAAATATAAACACCGTCACACCCAAGATAGCTCGTCTGATGCCTAACTAAGAGTGCTTGAGGGTTTCCAACAGGAAGTCTCAAGCACTCTGGGGGAACTTTCTCTGTACTTGGGTGTGTGGTCCGAAGGTGATCAGACTGGATCACTGCTTTAGCAACGACTTGACGTCTTGTTTTTCTCTTGAAATTCCGTCATCTGTCTTTCGGCTATCCGTGAACTTGCTCTCTTGGGAGACCTTCACAGCCCATTCATCACAGGGTACTTAGTTCAGTTCGGAATGGCTCCTTGGCTTGTACTTAGCGCGCGCCCACTAGATCGATCCATTGATGGTTGGGGAAGGGCCAATCCAATTCTAGAAAGTGAGCTTCATAGAACTTTGACCCTCTTCAAGGGTTGCATCATCGCACTTATTATTCTGGGTATAGTGTGAGTGTAACACAATGTGCCTTTGAAAGTAGATGTTCCTGTGTTAGTCCCCCTCACACTTCTGGTGATTCATGTGCTCCTACGTCTTATCCAATCATGTTCAGGTTGTGGGTTCAAATCCGAGAGGGAAGCTTGGCTGCGGCTCATTGAACCCCGTATGGCCTTCCGGATGTTGGAGATCTTCATAGGTAGATGAGGAGCAGCGTTTAAGTGAGTTCATTTTAGGAACTCTTCTTACACAATAGGTAGCTCATAATACACACGGTTTGTCTTGATAGTGATCTATGATGGAACAAGCGCACTGGACTAATGGACCCACACTCACTGAATAAACTTCGAGTGGGGTAGCTCCCCCCTTGAGGTAGTATCGGACAGTGTAATTGGATAGGTTATGAAACGCGATTCCTGAGAGTGGTCGTGGCATATTCCCATGAAGGGTAGAGTCCTACATGCTAAACCAGTGGTACTGATTTCTTGATGCACAACTATGTCGTGTTCGAAGGGAGGTGGTTCATGGAGGAACGACCAATCCTCCTCCACTTCTACTATTGTTGAATTAGGATTTATTTCCCCAAGTACTGAGTCTCAATGAATGAGGCAACCGACGGAACCCGTCCCCGGCATTCGAGTGGTGTTTCGGCAATGTTCAGTGTTGGTGTTACACCAACGAACAATGTGACAGACTTCCCGACAGCCGCTTCTTCAACGACATCAGCGACCTCAGACTCGCCCCTTTCGTCTAGGCACTCTTCAATAGCAGCTAGCCTTGCGACTAGTGGGGGTCTCACGCGGAGGCCTAGTCGGGTTGCAACCATTAGTGGTATGAAGCGATCAACATCTTCTACTGAGGATGCCACTGCAGCTACCGCATCCGATAGAGGAGGAAAGGTTGTGGAATCTCCTGATGAGGGAGCCGAAGGATCCGTCCCAGAACCGAGCGGATCTATACTCTCCCTTTGGACAGTATTATCAAAGACTATGATTGGTGTTGGTATGCTTGGCCTTGCTTATTCTGTATCAAGATGTGGCTGGGTTATTGGTATACTAGCTATCATTATCAGTGGTT